CATGCTGCTCAGTGGCTTCTTGTTGCAGAAGCAAGGGGTGGAAGTGCTCTGAAATGGATGGTGATTCGTACTATGCAATTGAAGTAAGGCTTGTGCAAACCAGTCAGACCTCACTGAAATCAGTGGGAGGTACAAGTGGGTTGATAAGCACAGGACAGCAGCCCCAACTTGCTTTAGCTGACTCTGAAGGCTCTCTGTTGTGTCTAATCAAGGCTAAATTCCACTCCCTAAAGGGAAAATTGCCCTGCCCTGGATAGCCCAGGCTAGACTGCTCTTTGCAGATCCAAGCAAGGTCAGCCCTGGATAGTATTTGGATGGGAGACTGCTAAGAAAGACCAGGGTCGTGATGTGGAAGCAGACAATTGCAAACCACCTCAGCTTCTTTTGGTTACAGGGTTGCCATAAGTCAGCTCTGATTTGATGGCAAAAAAGGGAGAAATTTTTTTTTTTAATCGCAACTAGGATTAAAGAAGTGGAGATTGGATTTATACCCCACCCTTCACTACCCAAAGGAGTTTCAGAACGGTTTATAATCTCCCTTCCCCTCCCCACAACAGACACCTTGTGAGCAATGCTCCCTCTAAGCTGTGGAGTCTTGGGAGCAAAAATTCTACTTTGTGAGCTACTGGCATCAAAGTTGTGAGTGAGCCAATTAGCTACTGCGTAAACTAGTTTGCTTTGGAGCCATCCTTCCTGAGCTAAGACAAAAGTGTGCGCGCCGGAGGCTAAGAAACTGTGAGCTAGCTCACGCTAACTCAGAGGGAGCACTGCCTGTGAGGTAGGTGGGGCTGAGAGAGCTCTCTTGAGAACTGCCCTTGAGAGAACAGCTCCCCCAACGACTGCACTGCTGGAGCCACAGAACTGGAGGCAGTGGGATAAAACAGATCTTGCTACGGCCCTCCTGAGCTAGCTTTGCTGTCTTCTAAGAAGGCAGTACAGCACAGACATACGGTTGGGTAGAAAAGAAAAATGCTTCTTTTGTTGTACCAACTTGCTGTGTTAGTTGCCAGAAGCAGACTCAAAGTCAACCGCCAATGGATGTACAGCATATGCAAGTGTGCAAACAAAAAAAACAACAACTGTACAAATAAAGTATTAGGCAACAAACTGTGTCCTTAAAATGAATCAGTGTTTTCTTTTGCAGTCCTTTTTCTCAGAAGTTATTAGCCACTCCCTTTTTGTCTCCAAACACAGTCACAAATGAAGCAGCTACGGATCGCCTGGGCTGCCGTCCGTTTCTTCTGACTTCTTCAGGCCACTGTCTCAATGGTGGAGCCCCAAAAGCTCTAGAAGTTAACTCTGACTTTGCAGTCTGTCTTGCCCCCATTCGGCTCTCCTAGAGCTTTTGGGGCTGCACCATTGAGACAGTGGCCTGAAGAAGTCAGAAGAAGCAGACTCAAAGCAGACCTACCAGTAGGTCATGTAGCAGTTTAATAGTACCTGGTTTGTATAATTAGTGAACGGGGGACATAACAAGCATGCTCTACTGCCCTGATTTGAATATTGTAGCCCTAGTAAAATGAACCAGTGTCTGGCTTTGCATGAACTCCAAAAAAGTGTGTCATCCTATGTACAAATAGACAAGGAAAGAGCATTGCGGAACCAAAAGTATGTTCTGCCTTCTGGACTGTTGCTCTTCTCCGCTGGTTGGAATCCTGCTAATTTTGAACAAAATCCTGTTAACTAGGATTTAAGAGAGCTGATCTAAGTGACCTCAATGGGAGGGGAAGTTTGGCTTTTCAGCCGTGATGGAAGTGAGTCACAGGGCGTTGGATTTGCTTGTGACCAAGGACTGATTATGTCTGGTTTCTAGTTATGAAGGTAATACAGGAATCCAGTGCCTTTCCCATGATCGCTGAACCGGCCTTCAAAAAGGAAGAATAGATCCCCTTCTTCCAACAGGTGGTTCAGGACGTAGAAATGAGTGCTCCCTTCATGCATTTGTCTGGTCTTTACTTGCTGTCACAACTCTACTAAGGAGTGAGGATCCCAAGACATCCTGTCACAAGCCTAGCTGCTACATCAGCACTTCCAGTTCCTGTCTGTCCCTCTTCCCTGAGCAAAACATAATTAACTGCCCCAGTAATCCCAGAGAAAGGTGGACTATAAACAATGTAAAATAAAAATTAAAGTAAAGAACAAGGCATAATGCTGAGAGACTTTTATGTACATTGGTTTGTTTTTTTGTGACTAGAGCATACATGCCCTTGGGGAGAGGTTTGTGGCTCAGCTGTAGAGCCTCTGCTTGGCATGCAGGAGGTCCCAGGTTCAGTCCCCAGTGTGTCTAGTTAAAAGGATCCGGTAGCAGGAGATGTGAAAGAACTTGACCTGAGGGGGCCTCTGCCAGACAGTAGACAAGTCTGACCTCGTATAAGGCTTATGTGTTCGTGAGTGTCCTTTTTTAATAATATGAATTTTATTAAGGTTTTTATACAATGAAATAAAAAGAAAGGGAAAAAAGGGGGGGAGCTAAACAGCAAATCAGCTGTACTACTAATAGTAAAGATGTGTTTTTAAAAAAATATTTCTCTCTGTGTGCGTTTTTGTGTGCTTGCCTGGAAGTCATGGTTGACTTTTGGCAACCCTTACTGGGGGCTTGGGTGTTTTTCAGAGAGGTGACTTGGTTAGTCTGCCTCTGAGTCCTGCTCTGGTATTCCTTGGAGGTCGCCCTTCCAGGTACTTGCCAGAGTCAGCCCTGCTTAGCTTCCGAGATCTGATGAGATCAGGTGTTCCTGGGCTACCCAGGTCAGGGCAGTAGAGATATGTTCTTAATGTTCAGTAAGAAAAGGGATGTGGCCTGGTCCTTAAAAGGTTTTGCTGGCCCATCAGAACCAGTGTGTGTATATGTGGGGGGGGGGGAACTCTGCAGCAGGGTTTTTGTGACTGTGTACCAGGCTTTTCTTAAAGGACGCCTGACTGAGTCCTTTCATGGGTCCCCATGAAGGCTGGGGAAAATAATTTGCCGTTTTCCCTCTCATGTCAGTTCCTGGGAGAGCAGGAGGTAGGGTGTATCAGTTTGTTTAATGTCTCTAAGTAAAGGTAAAGGTTCCCTTGCTCGAAAGCCAGTCGAGTCCGACTCTAGGGTTGCAGTGCTCATCTCCGTTTCCAAGCCGAAGAGCCAGTGCTGTCCGAAGATGTTTCCGTGGTCATGTGGCCGGCATGACTAAACACCAAGGCGCATGGAATGCTGTTACCTTCCCACCGAAGTGGTACCTATTTATCTACTTGCAATTTCTTGCTTTCGAACTGCTAGGTTGGCAGGAGCTGGAACTAGAGACGGGAGCTCACTCCGTCATGCGGCACCCAGGTCTCGAACTGCTGAACTACCGACCTTCCACAGCCTGCAGTTCAGCGTCTTAACCACCTGAGCCATCGCAGCTCTCTAGGTGACTCCAAAACAGGGAGGAAGTGTTGATCAGATAATGGCTGCTTTGCATACATAGCTTTGTTTGTTTTTTGCCAACTTCCAGCAATCCCGTAGGGTTTTCACGCCAAGAGACATTCAGAGGAGCTTTGCCTGCCTCTGTGTAGCAACCCTGGACTTCCTTGGTGGCCCAGGGCAAAGCCTGCTTGACTTCCAAGATCTGACAAGGCTGGTGTAGCCTGGGCCATCCGGGTCAGGAACATACATAATACCCAAATAAGAAACCAAAATTTCACTTGCATAGCTTCAGAGCAGAGGCAAAGTGTTAGCACTCAATGCTGTATGATAAACCATAGCTCATTAGGCAAATTGGCATTCTTACTGCCTTTTAAATAAGGATTTTTGGTTTTATACCATGTTGTTACCTCTAGCCAGGTACAATCTACTTAGTTGCTGTCTTCGTTACCTCCTGTGAGCCCAGACTACTCCTGCGTCACAGTGATGGCCAGTTACTTGAATGGCTTCTTGTGCCACTTGCTTAGTGCCTGAACCCCTCAGCCTCGTAACCTCTTGCTTTGTGCCAAGCATACCTGGTTGCCTTGGGCCTCTCTCTTCTTACCCCCACCCAGTAGATTAGTAGCTCATGCAGAAAGGCAAATTTAGTGTGTGACTGGCCCAAGGTCATCCAGTGAGCTTCTGTGGCACGAGTGGGGATCTGAACCTGGATTTCCCAGATCCTAGTCTGACAATGCTGGCTCTCTTGTGAAACAGAATGGACTATACTGGGAGGTGGAGTAGTTAGGAAGTTCCAGGTTCAAATTTCACCTCCACCTTGAGCGAGCTAGGTGGACCTTTGGCAAGTCTCGTTGTTGCTCATCCATAAGCCTCTCCCAAGCCCCACTGTGGTCTGGGTCCTGTACCGGTTTATCTTTACAGGTTGCTGTGAGAATTTTTCTGTGTGTGTATTTAACGTGTACCTAAATTGAAGTCTTTAAAGTCCTTTGTAGATGCTTATTTAACACTGATTATAAAAGGATACACATGTTTCTCTGGAATTTATAAAATGGTTGGTGCCTTTACTGTACTAGCGACCTGGTTCCTACTTATGGTATATATACAAGATGACCAGATAGCTGGAGTTGTCCAGTTAGGATCTTAGAGATAAACAAGATTTTTGGAGTATTAAGTTTTCAAGAGTCAAAGCTTCCTTTGTCAGATACGAGTCAGAATGGAGATCTGGGTCCTTAGAGATGCCGTTCAGAAGGTGGGAGGGGTGTTGCGAAGAAGGAACTCAGGATGCAGAGGTACAATGTGAACTGTAATCGGCTTGATTAGAGCAGACAGGGGAAGCTTGGAGGCCGAAAACTAGTGTCTGTAGTGATATAAGAATCCTATGTCCAAAGGTTCAGGTTTTTGGAGTCAGGGCCGTGTACAGTTGCCAGTCTGCATATTTTCATGGACAACACAAATTAATTTGCCCTTCTGTAGTATCAACCTTAATATATTAGTTAGTGACATCTGCATCACTACTAGTGGTTAGTTTATTTTTATTCTTAAAACCATTTGGTGTACCACTTTGAATGCCTAATTGGTCTCTTTCTCCTGTCTCTTCTCTCCCTGCCCCCTTCCCTTAAAGTTGCAGGAGTCATCACTGCGGACTTCGTCTCGGGTCTCGTGCACTGGGGAGCGGACAGCTGGGGATCTGTGGAGCTGCCAATAGTTGGAAAGGTTTGATTTTATTACTGGGGAAAGTAGGATCACCTAGAGCGATTTATTTGTTTAGAAATTCCATCTACTGCCTTTGTGAGTCTCCTCAAATGGGTCTGTGGGAAGCAGAAAATGCCACAAAAATGGTTTGCAGTCAATAAGAAATCAGGCCACGGGTATAAAAACAGTATGCAATAATATTCAGCAGCTTAAAATGATATTCGTGAAATAGTGCTAGAGCTAGAAGGAGACCATAAAAACAGCTCAAAAAGATGGAACTCCCTCCATTAAAAGCCATGGTTAAAATACATATCTTGGGCTCTTTTTTAAAAGGATGGAGCTTGAGAGGGGGTGGTTCTTCCAGTAGTTGTTCCAGTGGTGAGATGCCGCCATTGAAAAAAGCCCTGTCTCTGGTCACCATCTACCTCGCCTCTGCAGATGGGGGGACAGAGAGCAGAGTTTTGGGAAGAGAATCTTAACTGGCAGGCCGAACAATACAGAAGGAGGTGGACCTTCAAGTACCCTTGCCACAAGCCAATTAGAGTGTTAAATGTCAAAAGACACACTTTGAATCCTGACTGGAAACAGGTATGCCCTGTTTAACTCATTTAATTTTTTTATTATTTTCTCTAAAAAAAAAAAAAGTGGGATACAGAAGGGAAAGGGTGGTGGTGGGGAAATATAGATTCATCACGTTTGTCAAATATGAGTTGTTACACACAGCAAATAAAATCCGATGTATTACCAAATGTATTACATATTTCAAATATAGAATCAAACAATAAAACATCAATATTACACAATTTTGGGATAGATTCTCTCTTTAAATAATAAGAAACTTCCTAAACTTAGAGATAATCTATTAATGATAGAAGAGATTACATCTTTTAACAATTGAACGAACTTCTGTGCTAAAATTAAGTCATTGTAAAAACTTTAATATTGTCTTAATTGTTTATCTACATTTAAATTTTGTTCTTATTAATTTTTAAAATACTAGTGGAATACCGAATAAAATATTGAAATTATCCCCTGTTAATTGACACGTGGTAGACACTATACCAGAGGCAGACAACTCCTAATTGCAGAACGCCTTCCAAGTATAGTAAGATCATTGTTACTTGGTACTCACGGGAATGGGGGATGCTGGTTAGTAAAATGTGCCAGGTTCTCAAGATCATCATGATGCTGTGTCCCCACCCCACTGGGAACACCATGGTGATGGCCTCCATGCCTGGTGGGGACCCTTCAGCGTGGCCACAGACAGCGTGGCCCCCATGCAGCAGGCAGACAAGTGGGCCTGGCTGCCCTTCAGCAGAACTGGCTCCCAAGAGATTGAAGTAGGCGGAGAGGGAAGGAAGCACCAGATGATGATATTACTTTGTCAGGAGCCTAGCGATATCCAGTAGTATCAGGCTGGGTGCCTGAAGAGGTGGGAGTGGGGTCCGCATGTGCCCATAAGATTCAAGGATACAGTGGCTGCGTGGGAGGAACTGGGCAATGCATCCCGGATAATCAAGTGCCAGATATCAAAGCGTTCACTGTAGTTTGATGCTGGCATGATGTAATTGACATTGTGCTTTCATGTTTTCAAACATCTGTAGAAACATTTTGAAAGTTCAGTAAGTGTCAAACCAGACAAGATATTGGAGCTCCATCATGGATCTCCAATCTGTTAAAAGCATCCACAGGGGACTAAATCGGAACACAAATTTAAAGAGATGATGGGAGGTAATGAGCATTGATCTCCAACGTCTTGTGTAGCTTGGTGTAGTGGTTAGTGTAGTGGTTAGGAGTGCGGACTCTAATCTGGGAGAACCGGGTTTGATTCCCCACTCCTCCACATGCAGCTGCTGGCGTGACCTTGGGTCAGTCACAGTTCTCTCAGAGCTGTTCTCTCACGAGCAGTTCTCTCAAAGCTCTCTCAGCCCCACCTACCTCACAGGGTGTCTGTCGTGGGGAGAGGAAGGGAAGGAGATTGTAAGCCGCTCTGAGACTCCTTCGGGTAGTGAAGGGTGGGATATAAATCCAGTCTCCTCCTCCTCCTTTTCTTCTTGGCTCCAAAAGTGCTAGAATAAGTGCAGCCTGTCTGCTCTGTTTGCTTTCATGTTCCATAGTTTTGTAAGTGAAATAGCGTAAGAGACAATCTCTTGCTGCTTGCATCATGCCCCTCTCCTTCAGCTAATGACTGTGGGAGTTTATACAGTTGTCTGCCTGTCTATGTACAATTTCTTAATGCTGGGTGAACCAAGTGCCTTTTCTGCTGTCTGTATTTAGACTTCCCTTCCCTGACCTTTATTTCTCCCCCCCCCCCATTGTAAGACTGATACTCTCACAGAGTAACAGTTGACATCCCCACCAAACTGAACTTGTTCTAGGTTGATCAGCCCAGGAAATAAATAGCTCTCCTTCTGTGACACAGCTTGATGCTGACTCTGGGATTACTGCATGAGCAGTGTTTAAGAATTATGGTGTCTGCTCTCACTTGATTAGAAGATAAATTTGTAGTAATTTACTTCCATGGAGATCAGTGTGTCTGTGTACAACCTAACATGGACTTAAGCCAATAAATAGCGAAGCTAAATGTATGATCTCTGAGATTCTCCAGTACCCTTAGGGCAAGCCATTATATTTTGGTTAGACTCCCACATGCTAGTGAGAAATAGATGGGCCAGTGATCTGACTTCTTATCGCTTCTCCCCACCATCCCAATCCAGATATGGAGAGGCTGTAGCTCAGTTATGTTTTTTTAAATATAGCTGCATTTCTCCGGAGTCTTAGAAAATACTCTTATCTCTTATCCAATTAATTGCGATGATCTAGACCAGGGGTGGCCAAACTGTGGCTTGGGAGCCGCATGCGGCAGGGCGGCTGGGGAAGCTAAATATCGTTAGCAAGCAAATATCATTGGCCAAATAAATATGATCAATATCTGCTTTTACCGCTTTTGTTATTATTTTTGGCAGTCTCATTTAATGTTAATAAAAAGCAAAGTTTGCATATTTCCCAGTAAAGACATGTAATATTTGTTCATGTCTTGCGGCTCTCAAACATCTGATGTTTATTCTATGTGGCTCTTATGTTAAGCAAGTTTGGCCACCCCTGATCTAGTCCCTGCAGCAGCTGGGTTAGCTGGAATTCAGAGAGAGGATAGTATTTCTCTTTGTCCACCCCCAAAAGGTTCCTTGCTGTGTCAAGGAGGAAAGAGAAGCAGAATCACCAATCCTCAGCTCACCCTAGAAGATGTTCCTGTCTTGCACTGTTAGTATTTTGAGGAGTGGAAGATATAACGTGATTCTAGGCTGCTGCTCAGCAGAGAAAACTACAGCAATAGCTGCAACAGCAGAGTTAGGAGGCTTGAAGAGAGGGCTGCAGTCCTTCTGATTCACTTTCCCGGAAAGGTTTCTTGCCGCTGTTAAATAGAACCAGAACTGAAAAGATCTACTCCTTCTGTTGTATGTCAGCACATCTGTGGGGGGCCTTCCTTTAGCCGTGCTGAAAAGCTGGGCAATATGCCTATAGTATCCAGATCAGCAGGAGACTGGGAGAGGGGGAGAAAGGGTTACAACAGACCGCTTTGGGTGGAACGGGGACACTACGCTTCAATCATCTGATCCCCATGTACAATATGCTATTAGACGCTTTTAAGCCACCAGCCAAAGGTAGGATAGAAGTGGTCCTTTCTGTATCTACAAGTTAGGTCAGTATATGTGGGCAGGCAGGCTAGTAAAAAAATGTGTGTGGGGGTTAGGAACTTCAGGTATGTTAAAGCTGGCAAAATCAAACTTCTAACTTTGATCTCTCCTGTTTTTTAGGCCTTTATCAGACCTTTCAGAGAACACCACATTGACCCAACAGCAATTACCAGACATGACTTTATAGAGACCAATGGGGATAACTGCATGTTGACCGTGGTTCCACTAGCAAACATGGCCTACAAACTGGTTTCTTTATCGCCAGGTAATTTAGTTATAAATCAGTGAGTAAACTGGACTTGTAGCCTCCACGAAGTAGGGTGCATAGGCCTTTGTCCTCTGTTAAGCTGGTAATACCGCAGCAGCAAAGAAAGTGGAACAGAACCATGAACACCATTTGAACCCCTTGTCCTAAGAAGGACCCACATCATCCAGAAAATAGACTAATGGGGGGGAAAGTGGTACTTGGCATGTTCTGGGTTGGGACTGCGGTTGCAGTTTGGAACTGCTTTTAAATCAGCATTGGGTATGAATGCCTTCTTCACTCACTTTAGTTGGTACACTACCTGCTGCCCTTCCTGGAGAAACACTGATGTTGTCTTGGTGACTTTCGTGTTGAACTCTGTAAAAGGTATTGTTGGGAAACTTAAAGCTGGCTAAAAATACAGTGGCCTGAACTGTAACGGGTATGTGTTGCTGCCCATGCAAAGGAGCATAAAATGGCCAATGGTCAGACTCCCTATTATTTAAGCTGGCAATTGTATTGGTAGCCAGTTTACGTTTCCCTGCACTTTAATGGTTGACGGTGGGTTTCTGAGGGGGTCGTTCCCAGCACCTACTACTTTTACAGTGAATCTTCCAGAACTGATCCCATACCAGTTGGGTGCCTGGCAAAGTGTTTAGCTTCTTGTATTGTGGAGAAAAGCACAGACTAACAGAAACGACACTCCTCCAACTAGCGATGTTTCACCAAGCAGGAATAGGCTTCAAAGACTTCAACCTCTCCTAAAGGAAAAAATGTAAAAGGCAACAAAGTAACAATAGGAGATGGGTGGGACTGTGAAATATCTAACTTTGTGCAGGAGTTCAGTGAAGTAGCTAAAGGGGATATATCTGCAAAAGCAAAGAGGCTGGCTGACCCTATCCCTCTCCCCACAAAAATTCTTGTCCAGTGGCCTGGCAATGCAAGGGAACTCAGGACAGCATCCAGAATAAAATGCAAGCATCAGACTAACTTGGTTTTGCAATCTCTAATCTGTTACGTGTGGCAAATTTAACAAGGGTTTTTACAGTAAACTGGTTTAAACAAACCAAGATTGATCTGAATACAATTTTGATGTTGCTCTTCTTTTAAGTGTGCTTATTTTTTATGATGACTAGTTTACCACCATGAAGGGAGTGAATGGTATAGTAGAAATGTTCGATAGTGTGGCAGATATGAAATGTAAATAAGGTTCAGCTCTGCAAGAGGTATCTCCAATATTAAAGGAATAGAAAAACAGGTGGCTTGGGCAAATGAGCCATGCTGTATACTAAGGAAGATTCTTTTCTGGCCTGAAATACTGTGATCATTGGGATTCTACACACAAATCAAAGACCAATCAGGGCACGGCCTCTGAATTTGTTGCATTCAGTGACAAAGATGCTTCCATTATAAACTGACCACTACTTGTAAGAACATTTCAGGGGAGGATAGCACAACTTTTTTATGAAGTTGGGAAAGTGAGTTCTTCTATCTGGAGTGACCTAAAGGTTGGTTCACACCTGGCCTGGTGTCCAGAGTGCTAAATGCCATAAAGAATGAAAGCAGGGTGCACCAAGTACGAAGTCTCAAGGATGCATGTTGGATATGTGCTGGAGAACTGCAGTGTGGCCCATAGCTTTTTACAGTATATCGTTGGATATGTGCTGGAGAACTGCAGTGTGACCCATAGCTTTTTGCAGTATATTTTTGAGTGTTTAGAAATGCATGCAAACAAAACAAGTTTCCCCCAAAATTGCATGTCTTGGGGGATCACTTCTTCCCTGTGCAGCAGTCTTCATTTTATAGCATTAGATTCCTTGCTTGTAAGTTTCCCAGGAGCGCGGAGGTAATTTTTGTTCTGGGTTTTCAAACTGTTGATACACTGATCACCCTGTAACGCTTCAGAATGGTATAGTAGAGGAGATGTAATCACTCAGTGACTGCACTGCCACAAAATGCATTGCTTAAATTTCCATCAGTCCTTAGAAGTGGTACACAAATTGGTAGGGAACCGAAACCCTGGTTGGTTGTGGGCTTCTGCTGTTGCCACAGTTTCTACTGGACACTTGTTGGGTTTGTGAATAAAGTTGAACCTCTTGGTTTTTTCTTCTTTTTCAGAAGCATTGCACCAAGCATGCCCTTGGGAGTGTTACGTCTTTGCCCTGGCTGTATTTGTAACCTTGACGAACCAGATTCACAAGTGGTCTCACACCTATTTTGGTCTTCCTTCCTGGGTCGTCTTTCTGCAGGACTGGCACATCATCCTGCCACGGAAACACCACAGAATCCACCACGTTTCTCCGCATGAAACCTATTTCTGTATTACGACAGGTAAAGGACAGTGTAACTTGCAGCGACAAATTTATATCCTAATACAATAGGCAGAGCACTGGCTAGAATACACATGCGTGCAGTGCCACCTCCCCACGCCCAATGGAACAATGTTTCCTTCCTGTGTAAGCCCCTAGTGAGTGCTTCTATGGCAGCCCATCTGGCAGGGCATTAGATACATAAGAAGCGGGCAGCTGCTGCTGGAAGAGCAGGGGGTTTCAGCTTTCCTTGCTCTAGCAGAATGCACACTGTAGCCCTGACCTGAATAGTCCAGGCAAGCCCGATCTTGTCAGATCTCAGAAGCTAAGCAGGACCGACCCTGGCAAGTATTTGGATGGGAGACCTCCAAAGAATACCAGGGCCAGGAGGCCAGAGGCAGGCTTTCGAGCCACTTCTCTGAATGTCCTCCGTGCCCCTACTGGGGGTCGCCATGACTTCCAGGCATGGACACACAAACACGCACACACAAATGCAAAAATCCCAGAATGCACACTGTTATTAAAGCATCATGTGTGACTGTGCGAATGAAGCAGTTGTTTTTGGCACCACTGTGTTAGAAGAAGAAGAAGAAGAGATTGGATTTATACCCCGCCCTTCACTACCCAAAGGTGTCTCAGAGCGGCTTACAAACTCCTTTCTCTTCCCCTCCCCACAACAGACACCCTGTGAGGTAGGTGGGGCTGAGAGAACTCTGACACAAACTGCTCTTTTTCAAGGACAGCTGTGCCAGAGCTTGTGACTGACCCAAGGTCACATCAGCAGGTGCAAGTGGAGGAGTGGGGAATCAAACCCGGTTCTCCCAGATTAGAGGCCGCACACTTAACCACTACACCAAACTGGCTCTGTTAGGTGGTGGAGCATTCATAATTTGGCTTGCCAACTTTTATCGAGTGGGTGTTTGATATTGTTTGCCGTTGATATTGTTTGCTGTTGATAATAGTGTTATTTGATTTGATAGTACTTGATTTCCAGATTTTTAGCTGACTGTGTGTTTGCTAAATAGTTGTGCAGTGGAACCTAGTATTTGGTCACGAACTGCTTATGTGACAGCTGGCATGTACCCGCTCCAACTTGAGAGCTTTCGTGTTTCTATCGTTCTCCAAAATTTGCAGTCAGATGCCGGCTCTTTATTAGCTTTGCCTGCAGGAAAAGGATTGAACTTCCTTTCACTTAGCATAGCTGTTGTCTTTGGTGTCAGTAGTGACCAGCAGCTGTCATCTGACCTTTATTTTTTATTTTAAAAAGCCCCAACAAACTACACTACACATCAGCCCATTTTTCCTTGGTGTGTGCTAGGTCATGTAAATCTTGTTCCCTAACACACATCAGAAACTGTCTGTGAAAAATTACGTCTGCTGGCTAGCAGCAGGCCGTTCAAACCGGATTAGCGGCTTCTGTGGTTTTGAAAGAAGCCCTTTAAAAGTTGTTAGTGAGACTTTGGCTTGGGTACAGACTCGATGTTTCTGCCCACAGACAGCCATTTCCATTCCTCCTTCCAATGCCAAGGCAGCCCAAAATACCTCATAAAATCCTGTTCTTAGGGAAAGGGGACCCCCAGGAACAGGATTGGGGGGGGGATTTCAGACTGCTGCTTGGGGGGGGGAGGAATCTCCCTCTGTGGGTAGAGATCCTTGTACATTAATCGGGATCCAATCCTCTTAGGTTTTTAAAGTCACACCAGTAGTGTGTGAAGCATATTTAACTTCAAAAATTAAGCACTGCCAGTGGAAGGCCTTAAACAGCCAGTTTGGTGTACATAAGAACATAACAGAAGCCAGTGTTGGATCAGGCCAATGGCCCATCCAGTCTAACACTCTGTCACACAGTGGCCAAAAATACCAGGTGCCATCAGGAGGTCCACCAGTGGGGCCAGGGTAGTGGCTAGGAGCATGATTCTCCACTCCTCCACATGCAGCTGCTGGCGTGACCTTGGGTCAGTCATACGTTCTTTCAGAGCAGTCCTCGAAAGAGCTCTCTCAGCCCCACCTACCATAGGGTGTCTGTTGTGGGGAGGGGAAGCTGCTCTGAGACTCCTTCAGGTAGTGAAGGACGGGGTATAAATCCAATATTTTCTTTTTCTATACAAATGTATCTGAAAGTCCTTTGAACAGTGGAACTGGCTTCTCTGGAAGCGCACATAGGATTGGACTGCACATCTGAGACCCAAATTCTAACACTTTTATTTTGTTTTGTGTCTCAATTCTAATATATGCAACTGTCTGTCTTAATTCACATCCTTACCACTCTCTCCTTCTGTAATCTTGCAGGCTGGCTCAACTATCCATTAGAGAAAATCGGATTTTGGAGGTTCCTGGAGAATATCATTCAAAGACTGACAGGAGAAAAACCTAGAGCAGACGATATGAAATGGGCTCAGAAAATTAAATAACTCTGACAAGCCTCTGCAGTGCTCACATCTGTTGCCAATATTTTTAAATGAGAAAAAAAAGCCATCAGCCAAATTAAAGACTTGCAAAGAAATAATGGACTAAAGCACAATGCTTTTTTTTAAAAAAAGTGCTAACAGACTGCAGTTAAAGGACTCATTCTTCAAAATAATACTTGAAATGCAAATGGTTTTTCCACTTGCACTGAGCACCTTCTGTTAGCCGCATCTACTGATGTTGAACGCACTCGTCCTTGAGTCTCAAAAGCCATTAGTTGGAGAAGACAGTCTGTGACTTCTAGTAAGATAATGTCAGTGGCACAGTAGAAAGCAAAAATAAAATGTGTTGTATCAACATGAATTACCACTTTGAAAGTAGTTTCAGACCGTGTGGGATAACAAAAAGAGAGCAAGCAAGCACTATGTCTTTTAAGGAGCGGATCTAGACTTACTGCATGAAATCCAGCCGGGAGAAAGGGAGTCTGTGAAACTGTCACTATTTAGTGCTTGGTACACCAGCCAGTTGCTTCATCTTGCTGCCATGTCCCGTCCTAGTCTGCAGTGTGCAACAGAGCATTTGAGAGTCTCACTCTGCTAGTGGATTAAAGGATCCTTTTAATGTTGTCTTTCTCCTGAAATAAACAAGTGTTCTACTCCTTTTCCCTTGATAATTCAAGCAGACCATTGCTGTGTAAGCCTGTGACTACCTTGACAGCAATCATGGGTTGGGGTGGGGTGGATTAAAGCAAGAGTATATTTTGTGGAAATGTCCAAGATCAACACTAGTGTTAGGTCATTTTAGTGTTCAGTGATGCGGAGCGGGGATCCCTCTCAGTATGATTTCATCTTCCAATAATTACTGTTAAAAAGTAGTTCTAGAAAACTGGGCACATCCATCAGTTTATATCTTAGAAAAGGATAGGTTAATGGTGTGTATTAAAGGTGCTTGCTCATTCATGTAAATATTTATAAAGCCTTAATCTTTCCCCCCCTTGGTGTAACATGGAACAATATTTTAATGTGGTCTGAATGTACATAAGATATTTATAACAGTTGGATAATACTAATCACATTTGTTAAGTCTTGTTGCAATTCATCTTTCGTTTTGGTTGTGTGTCCATAGCTTCTCCGAGTAATTAGTCTAACAGGCAAATGCAAGCCAGTCACGCTGAACTGGAGCAAGCTTGCTGTGCCAAGAGTGGATTTTTTTTTAAAGGATTTTATTAGTGGATTTTCTGTCTACGTGTCCAGCAGCTGTTCTTCTGAATACCAGCAGCTGGGGGGGGGGGGCAACAACAGACCTGCCTGGCTTGTAGGCTTTGCAGCAGCATCTGGTTGTGGGGAAATGTGGTGCTGGGTTAGATGGACCTCTGGCCTAAACCATCAGGACTCTTTATGGACAGGAGACTGTTGAAATATCCGAAGGTCCTACAAAGCAAATCTCTCCCCCACCTCGTAATTTCAGATATAGATCTTAAACCGCCACACCTCTCCTGAAGAACTAGAGGAGCCATCTTTGGTAGCCTGCTTATGTTAAGCTTTTGTTTTGAGCCTCCCCCGTTAAAGAATTTTGTATGTCAATACATAACTACGGCCGCACCATAACTTGCCTTCTAGACCCCGCAGCGATATGGTCAGTTTAAAATGTACTTTTCCTGGTTAAACAAAGTGGTCGACGTGAGTGCTGAAACAAGCTGTAGCACTTCACATCATTTATCCAGACTATTCAAAATAACTTCACATACATTTGAATTACAACAACCAGACTGGACACTCCTCTGATTGCTGCAGTTGTGCTGTGGCACATCAGACTACTAATGATGTAAGGTTTTAAGAACATGTGTCTGACCAAGGGGGCTCCAGTCTGTCCCCAAGTCCATCTGTTAGAAACTTGCAGTGTCAAAAGAATCCATCGGTGTTTCTCATATAAAACACCAGTATTATACCCATTTTACAGGTGAGAGAGTAATGCCATCTGCTGAACTCATGGCCAGGGGAAGTGTGACTAGGGTTTCCCTAGTCTTGGCTCTCAGTTTGAGCCCCTATAGACTGCATTGATGGTGGAGCAGCATAAGGTAACATCGGCACCAGCAGTGGTGGTTGGTAGTTTGGCATCTTAATCCAATAACCTACTCCAAGGGTTAGAAATCAAGTGTCTTCACCAAAACAAAATCAAACTCTCAGCTGCCACTGGGCCTCTTTTCTGTTGCTGCCCAACTATGCACACTTCCTAGAAAGAAAGCGGTGTTTTAATTTACACCCTACTGCATATAGCGGCCTGCTGTACAGCTTGTAGCTTTAAAAGGATTAATGGAAAGTGGTTGAGGAAGAAAGATAATAAAGTGCAGTGCGTGTTGGCCACGACCATTTATAAAGTGTTCCGAGAGGCTGATTTTTCTCCTTGAAGCCGCTTGCCAATTCGTATCAATTGCATCTGTGCTTTATAGGATGCTAAATGCTAGAGAGCAGCTTGGCCTTTCAGAACTCCCCAGGGATTAGCTAAACTAGAACTCTTCTTTTTCTTAATGTGAAAGTTGCCCAAGACAGAAAAGGCTGTAGTGCTTATGAGACAGGAAGGGAAAAAACACGAGGATTGTATCTCAGTTAATGGCAGGTGGTAGAGCTAGAGGTCGAAAAGGTTTTTTAAAAAAAATAATTTGGATTGAAAGAGAATGGACCCCTAAATAGAACTCAGAATTGCAGACTACTGGATAGGTGTGCACATTGTGGGGAGTGTTGGCCCATCTCCCAGCTCTTGGGTCGGTCTCTCCTTTTCCCTTTAAACAATTGCTTGAAGCAGCTGTGGCCCCAGTGGCATGCTCCGGGGCTTGAAATCCAGCTCAGGTTCTGACACAGCACCCATGTGGAGCTTGTCACTTCCCCCATCTGCCCTTTTTGTGACTGCTTGACATTTTTTTAAAATTTCATTCTCTTCCCACAAGTTCAGATGAGATCAGGCCTGAAGGGAAAGCTCAGAGCAACTTCTGGGACATTCTCAGAGATGCCTGTCTTACTGTCCTCCCTATACAGTGTCCTTTCAACTTCATGTGGTTTGCACAGGCGGAACAACTGAAGCAGCATCCTTGGTGATTCCTTCTTCCCATAGAATGCTCATACTCCAGTTATGGACAAACCTCAGGGTAATGCAGGGTCCCAAGGGCTAATGCTTGGAAATGAACAGCTGTAGATGAATAATACAGAATTTTTTAAGCAGCATGAAAGTTTCTAGAAGACTTGTAAACATCTCTATTTAACAAAGTCCTGGACAGAAGTTGTAAAAGCATTCTTGGTTAGGTTTTATGGCACAAATTGGGTCTTATTAATACTCCAATGCTAACTGTGGGCTAAAATCCATCTGTACATAAAGGGCTTCCACCTTGTGTGCTGGCTGCTAGACACGGGCCATGAAGAGAGGATTTATTTAATTTATACCCCGCCCTCCCTGCTGAGGCAGGCTCAGTGTGGCTTACATAACATAATACACAAATAACAGTTAAAATCCACATAAAATCATCTAAAAACAGTTCAAACAATTCAATATCATTAGGTGCTAGCGATGACCGATTAGATACTTAGCAATGGCATACTGTATGAGTGCAAGCAAATGTAACAGTGTTCTGCTCAATGATCTTCCTAATATGAGCGGGGGTACATACTTGTAGATGTCAAAGCCAAGGGACTGGGCTCTGTAATTACAATAATTGTTGGTAATGGTGGCGGCTGTTCCTTAGTTAAGGCCTGGTGGAAGGGCTCCATCTTGCAGGCCCTGTGGAACTGTAGGGGACCCCGCAGGGCCCTGATCTCTTCCAGGAGCTCATTCCACCAGTGCGGAGCCACCACTGAGAGGGCCCTGGTAGTCACCAGCCTGGCATCCTTGGGACCTGGGAGGGCCAGTTGATTTTGAGACCCTAACCGTAGTGGTCTCTGGGATATGTGTGGGGAAGGAATGGCAGCAGGGCACACTGTAGTGGCAGAGCTGGGCAGAGCATGGCCAGTGGCGGATATCAATGCTATCTGGTTTGTGGGAAGGAAGCAAGGTGAGGACCACTCTCTTGATGCATCTGTGAAGGACCCCTGGTTTGAGGTCATTTAGTTCCTCCCCTTCCCCTTGCTGCCTTTAAGCCCTTTATTTTGAGCTGGGGAATCAATGGAATAACCCATACTGAACCTGAGATGAAAATAAGAGGCAGGCAGGTAAAGTAATGAACGGAAGGCAATACTTCACTGGCAGGATCAAGACTATGAAGACTAGGAGAGGTTAGAAGCAGATGAAGGTGAGGAGGCTGCTGAATGTAACTAATGGGAAGCTGGGTGAAGGTTTCTGGAGCCGCCCTGCACCATCTGAGCCTCTTCTCAATGGAGTCAAGAGCGAGACTTCAGCCAAAAAGGTCAGGATGGAGTGGAATGTACTAGAGTGACAGGTGACAAAGGGCAGTCTATCCCCTGCTAGTTCTTCTTCTGTACCATGCTAATCCAATTACATTTTCTGTGCATTCAGCTGTTCTTTTGGTCTTAAAGACAACCGCTGGATGAAATCAATAGTTTTGAGCTTGGTAGAGCAACACTCTGTCTAGGTATAAGGCGGCTTCACTTACATTTATTTCAGGGTCATGGTTAATAGTAGTACAAGGCTGATCTCTACAATACCCAAAAGTTCTAATCTTCGCAAATGGTGGAAGTTTCTGTAGAAGTGAGTGGTTGAAATATCGTTCCTTCATTTCCCTGCTTTAAGCGAAACTGCTTTTTGTTTGGCGGAGGGCCCTTTCGCTGGCTACCCCCACGACAAACCGCATTTGTTTGCAGCATGCACAAACCGGAGGTTGTAGCAGTGCTTGCCCACTCTCCTTCACTTTGCAGGGGAAGCACAGATAAAAAGCTTCCGGCTTTCAGAAGTGTTGAATCACACCTTGATTTGCTGTCATGTCCAAATGCAGGTGTATGGGTAAGTTGGGAGCTGTCCTCTCCACCAACCAGGAATCTAAAGGAGAGGGATGGAGGAAGCACCAAATGAAGACCAAGCCTCTGTGCCCATCACAGCCATGTAGCTTTGCTTGAACACGTGAATGCCTTCAGTGATGGAGTTGCCAGAACAGGCAGGGTAGTAACAGAGAATCGGGAAAACAGGTCTTCCCAGACGTGTGGCCTGGTGGGATATAGTGCAATTGATAAATGCCTAATGAAGTGACTCCGTGTACATACAAGTGTTTTGGGATTAATTTTAAAAAACTTTTAGTGGTTCATCTGACATTTTTCGACTTCAGTGTTTCTCCTTGGTGTTCTGAGTGTCTTAAGTGTGTATGTGCAAGCCTTTTTTTTCAAGCTAATGTCATAGTTTTATAATTTCAAAAGTGGAAATTCCTGGCATGAATCTGCATTCGAACATCAACCCAGGACTTAAATGTAGAAAACGTACGGGCAAGTTCCTTGGGTGACTGGGGACTCCTGCTGGGGACGACTGGATATTACAATACACAAATGTAAATTGGGGTAAAAGAGCTACTTTAGGCATATCGTTGGCTATTCTGCCTAATTGAATGTCTTCTTTTCTTTTTTTTTGGTGCTTTAGAGTGAACACCCACATAACAGTACCTCAGCCTGCTTTGGAAAGTGTTTAGCTTCAAATGTGGTTTGTCTTTTAGTATCTGTGTAGGGGGAAAGTCTTGGGAAAACACAAGCATAAAACCTCTTCAGATCCACAGAACTACCTGCGCAGTTCTTCACATCCTGTCTACAGTGTTTTATTTTGTCAGGAATGTTTTACCATCCACTGATACTTACATAGGTTTAACAATGTTTTTTTTTTGTGTGTACACACATATGTATCATAAAGGGTGGGTATCTTGCTAATAAAAATAATCCTCTGCATCCTTAAGTGTATCCAGTCCCCTGAAATCAATGAGGGGAGAAGCAGGAGTTAAACTTTTCATCCAGAAGGGCCCAGGTTCAATTCCAGGTAAAGAATGGTAGGTAGTAGACCTCGGGGAAAGACCTTTCTCTGTGTGAAACTGTAGGGAGCCACTGCCAGTTAGAGGAGAACAGTGAGCTATGTCAGTGAATAGTCCAATACATGCCAAGTCAGCTTCTTATGTTCCGTGGACACACAAGTCGCAGCATTTGGCTGTACAGCTTGGGCTTTCTGATACTGAATGGGAAGTAAGCCCCACTCTGCTCAATGGTACTACTCTTAGTAAAGTGTAAAGGGCTGTGGCTTTGCATAGGGGATGAAAGCATCCCACACACCATATCTCAATAACCTTTAAGAGTACTGGGACCAGGAACATTATTTCAAGGGACATTTTGGACAGGATGGGGGAGGCAAGAAAATTACACTCCTTGTGCAGAAATCTTTGCGCCCTTGGAAAAACTGGTGGATCCAACCTGAGGGTGTGTGTGTGTGTGTGTTTTTAAAAGAAACAGCAAAGCTATTAAATCAACCTGACCATTATATCTGAAAACTGATAACCCATCCATATGCTTCTCCAAATAAAAATACTGAAATCTATGGCCCTGGATTAAAGATAGGGAGGGAGAGGGTTGAAACTGACCTGCCTAAATTTAGCTGTGGAGACATTACCTGAATCCTTCAACAAGCTCACCCTTAAATGAATGGCAATGGAGTCATTTTAATACTTGGTAATAATAAGTAGCATTTATAATAACGATTAGTTTTCTGTGTTCAAAGCACTCCATATATTCTGTAGTCCTACTTGTAAGGTGGTGGGAAGTGCCATCAAATCATAGCTCACAAGGCAACCCCATAGGATTGTCAAGGAAAGAGGTGAACAGGTGGTTCGCAATTGCATACCTCTGCATAGCAAATCTGGACTTCCATGGTGGTTTTCCATCCAAGTACTAACCAGGGCTGACCTTGCTGAGCTTCCAAGATCTGATGAGATCAGGCTAGCCTGGGCTATCCAGGTCAGGGCTCCTGTAATGTAGACTAGTGCTGTTATCCCCATCTTACTGACTGGAGATCTGACTGCTTCTTGGTGAATCTGGTAGGATTTAAACCTGGGACTTCCTAGATCACGGCTCATTTTAAGTTACTATGTTCTGTGGCCAGGGTCCTCTGCATGGTGCTGTCGCTGCCCCTGTCAGAGATCAACTTGATGAAGGCCATCTCTGTTGAACTTTCTCCTCACCCTCTGCCCTCAGGGGAACTAGTTATTTCATAGTATGTGCAGGTTTGGTCAATAGGAGACACCAGCAGCTATGTAGAAAATGGGTCATGTGCATTTGAAGGTGTTTTAAAGAGAGGTGGATTGTTTATGGTGTTGAGATTCATAGTGTAGGACTAGGCCCTAAGACAACTGGGTTCGAATCCCTTCTTTTCTACAGAAGCTTGCTGGGTGGCCTTGGGCCTCTCAGCCTAATGTACATCACATGGTTGTTGTGAGGAGAAAATGGAGGAGAGGCAAACAATGTGATAAGCTGCTTTGGTTCCCTATTATGGAGCAAAGTGGGATATAAATAAAAACACTTAAATTGTGGGGATTCTCAGAAGCCGCTTCAAGGTTTTGCAATGAAAAGACTGATGGACTTCTAGAACTCTGGAACCATTTCTGCTATAAATCTACTGTATTAAAAAGCCAAATAAAATGTGATGGATGGGCTATATGAATGAGCACTATTGACAAAGGTGTTACCTTTTTTTGCTTCTTTTGCACACCACTGATAGGCTTGTCCTCTATGCATGTGTGGACTCCTTTTTCAGAGCCCTTTAAAGTTCTGAGAAGCAGTTTAGTGCCAGGACCCACTAACACATTACGAAGTCCTCATGTTCCCAATCTGACCACCCAGATATGCACTATGAATTTCATGCCTGATAATTCTGAGGGGTACCTCGGCCTGATTCAAATTGAGATGACAAAAGAGAGTAGGTTTTTAAACCTTGCTTTTCGTTACCCTAAGGAGTCTCAAACCAGTATACAATCACCTGTTCTCCCTACAACGGGTACCTTCTGAGGTAGCTGGGGCTGAGAGAGTTTTGAGAGAACTGTGACTGGCCAAAGGTCACCCAGCAGGCTTCATGTGGAGGAGTGGGAAATCAAACCTAGTTCTCCAGATTAGAGTCCGCCACTCTTAATCGCTACACCACACCGGCTGTCTGGGACTATAGCACTAAGGGAGAAGGGGCTTAAAAAATTTCTCCCACACCCTTTTCCTGATCCAGAGCTGCAAGGGAAATTGCCCTTGAGGAAATTTATGTATCAGTACATGTAATTTCCAACATGCTGTTTCAGGATGGGAAAAGTATATGGCCTTAAGCCTTCACCCTACATGGGTGGTCCCAATTTGGGACTGTGCATGCCTGGCCCCAGGCAGCCAAATTAGCACCAGGAGGACTTTATAACTGGTGTATTGGCTGAGATTAGATGAGTTTACTGAGGCAAAGAGGTAGATAAATATTTGATAGTGGCTATCACCACACCTTGTGGTCTTAATCGCTACACCACACTGGCTGTCTGGGACTATAGCATTAAGGGAGAAGGGGCTTAAAAAAAATCTCCCACACCCTTTTCCTGATCTGGAGCTGCAAGAGGGAAATTGCCCTTGAGGAAATTTATGTAACAGTACATGTAATCTCCAACATGCTGTTTCAGGATGGGAAAAGTATATGGCCTTAAGCCTTCACCCTACATGGGTGGTCCCAATTTGGGACTGGGCATGCCTGGCCCCAGGCAGCCAATTTAGCACCAGGAGGACTTTATAACTGGTGTATTGGCTGAGATTAGATGAGTTTACTGAGGCAAAGAGGTAGATAAATCTTTGATAGTGGCTATCACCACACCTTGTGGTAGTTTTAAGAATTGCTTCTGCACCCAACCTATCATTTATTGGTGTAAGTCGCTACCACAAGATGGCTAATTTGTGTGAGTCACTACCACAAGATTGTAATTAAGGCTGTAATCCTTTAAAAAACCCCACGTTTTCCTGAGAATAAGCCCCATGGAATAAAATGAGGCTTACTTTTGAGTAACCATGCAAAGGGTTAGAAGACAAATTCGTGGTTTAGGAACAGCTATTAGCCACAGTCCCTTAATTGGACTGCCTTCTGAATCCCAGCTGTTGGGAGGGAAATCAGGGAAGCGCCCGTGGATCACGTCCTGCTTCCGAGTTTCCTTGACAGCACCAATCCTTTGCATGTTTACTCGGAAGTAAGTCCTACTGCGCCTTTACTCACAGGTACGCGTGTTTTAGATTACCATCTTGTAGGCTTTTATTGACTATGCGATTCTGGACTAGATGCCTCAGGGTCAGTTTCAATAAGTCGCGTCTTATAGTTTCGCTTTCCTTAGCAGTTGCATCTGAACGAAGTGAAACGTGGTTGATCAGTTGTACTAAAAAAATCGGCGGGCCTCTCTTCGCAATAGCCAGCCGGCACCAACACCATTGCTTGAGTTGAAAAACAAGACAGGAAGCCGCTTTACTCTGCGGCTCCTTTATCCAAAACGCCGAAATTTCGCCCTCCCGAGCTTCTCCTTTCCTCAGACGAAATACTCGCACCGGAAAACAAAAAGGATCCCCGCGTGTCGCAGCGCGACGCTTCGGCCGGCGCAGCCCAACCTCCTGCTTCCTTTCGTTTCTTTATTTCCCCCTTTCCTGCGCCCTCCCGCCTCGCCTCTGGCCCGCCCGCTCGGGAGCCATTGATCATCGCCGCCGCAACTCACTTCCCGCGTTGAGGTGACGTGGGCGGCAGGGAGGCCGGGCTCGCAGCGACAGCGGCGCAAGATGGCGGCCACCACGGGCTCGGGTGAGCGGGGGACCGGGGAACCGAGGCCAGCCTGCCCGGTCGAGGGGGAGCGGCTCGCGGCGGAGGCGGCCCCGAGGGGAGGCAGAGGCTCGTTTCCCCCGGGTCCTGGCGGGGAGACGCAGCGCCGGGCCCGACGGGCACTCCAGAGCCGGGGCTCGCCGCCTGGGTGTGTCGGGGCCCGAGGGGCGGTGGCCAAGGAGGCTCGAATGGGGGTGCTAGGCTGGGAGAGAGGAGGCGTTGGGGGGAAGGCAGCTCGGGGGTGGAAGGAGGGAGGTTGGGGCTCTCCATGGGTGTGTATGTGGGGAGGGAGAGTGGTCGGCCCGGTCCTCCCTCCTTGGACCGGGGAGCGCCTCATGGCAAGGAAATGGTGGGGGGACTCCGAAGGAAACGTGTTGGGTAAGGGAGACTGCGTTGGCTAGTTTAGCTGAATGGAGCTTCCCTGGCTAGAGGCACTGTACCCTTGAATACACGCAGTGTGGAGGGAGGAGTTCGGTTGACTAATGCGAACGCAACGCATATGGGCTGGTTAGCTTGGATTCCTGTTCAGAGGCAGAATACCCCTGGATGCGTGTTGGTTGGGTTGGGTGTGTGGAAAGAGGACGTGTTCAGGTTATCTGAATGGAACTTCCGGAGCTGAAGGCAGGACGCCTCTAAACCTGTGATGTTGGAGGGCAGAGAGAATTGAACAGTTTGGCAAAATGGAACCTCTAGATATGGAAGCAGTGTGTCTGCATAAGTGGTTAGAGAAGAGCAAGAGTCCAGTAGCACCTGAAAGACTAACAAAATATGTGGCAGGAGGTGATCTTCCGTGAGTCACTGCTCTGAAGAAATGAGCAGTGACTCATGGAAGCTCATCCCCTGCCACATATTTTGTTAGTCTTTCAGGTGCTACTGGACTCTTGCTCTTTTCTACTGCTACGGACAGACTAACACGGCTGTCCATCTTGATCTGTCTAAGTGGTTAGAGAACATATGTGGGAAGATGGTATATACTGTGTTTCCCCGAAAATAAGACACTGTCTTATATTTATTTTTTCTCAAGAAGACACACTAGGGCTTATACCACAAATGCATAGAAATCCTGCTAGGGCTTATTTTTGGGGTAGGGCTTATTTTCGGGGAAACAGGGTATTAGCCGCAGGCAATATATCTTGAGTTTTGAAAGAAAGAGTGTTAGGTTGGTATATCACAGGGAACGATATGTATTAGCCATGTTAGTTATGTGAAATTTCCATATTCAGAAGCAGCATACCCCTGAAGACCAGCTGCTGGGGTGGCAGATACTAAGGGAAGGCCTTGTTGATTATGTCTGTGTTTCCTGTTGGCATTTGGCTGCCTGCTGTTGGAAGTAGGCTGCTCTGCTAGATAATTTTTAATCTGATCCTGGAGGGCTTCTCTAATTTTTATTTTCAAAAACCAGGTTGGGTGGAAATGGTTTCCTGGATGGGGGTGTGGAGAAGGGCTGAGATAGGATGGCAGATATGGGTTTTACGGAGAATTGGGGTGAATTGCTTTGTAAGTTAGCTATGCTTTGTGTATTTTTTTTGCCAGAACGGCATTCTACCCTAATGGCGGTTTCCAAAATGGGGTAGCCATAGTGGCTGACAGACTGAACGGTGGGGGGTGGGAGGTGTTCAAATCTGACTCCTTCTATAAGCCTGCTATTGGATAATTAAGCTTCTGTCTCTCAACTACAGTGGCCTCCCAGCTTGTACTGTGGTTCTATATTATTTTACAGTGTGAAATTTAGTAAGGTAATGTATTGCAGTACCTTAGGGGGAAAACAACACTTTTGCCCCTGATTTGCCCCCTACCCCCAGCACAGTTTGGTTTCTAGAAGGTGCTAGAGTGTTTGATGGGTTTAGGCTGGATTCTTTTGCTGTTGGATAGTTCTAGGCATCTAACGGTATCTTACACTGAGTCAGACCACTGATCTTTGTAGCACATTATTGTCTATTCTGATAAATAATGGTGCTTCAAGAGGTCTTTCTCAGCATCTGCCACTGAAGATGCCGGGGGGACTGGAATTAGGACCCTCTAAAGGCAGAGCAGGTACTGTGTCTTTGAGTTTTGTGTCATCCTTTTCTGGAGTTTCCGTTTGTACAAGGAGTGGGTAGAGAATATTCAGAGGCATAAGAGAATCCTGCTGCAATATAGTTGGAAGGGAATAATGCCATCCATTTCTGGTCCCTTTGCTTTCCTGTCTGTAGGCAGCTGGATCTGGGAGGTATGAATTCAGGTGCCTCTGGTGCTGTGGTTTAGAGCAAGTCACCCTCTCTCCATCCCAGTTTTCCCCCCAGTAAAAAATTTGAATAATAGTGGAGTAATAGTGACATACTTCACTGGGTGATTGTGAGAGTGGGCGTGATAAAAACAGAACTCAGATTTGAAAACTGAAACCCCTATTGATGAGCATTGATTTGCAGTAACAGAGGTCTCATAGGCTTTTTCTTTAAATATAAAGGCAGAAAAATGGGAAATATAGCAGGATTTCCTGGGCTGGAATTTTCTCTTGGGTGTTCACTTACAGGCAGATCGTTTATATTAGCTTGTTGATTGTTTAAGATGCTGGATTATCTCAGTTGTGATCTCCAGTAGTAAACTGTACCTTAGAAGAGTATTCCTAAAGTAAACTAGAGCTGGGGTAAGAAAAGATGCTAACATCCTGAAACTAATATAATTTGTAAAGTATAAGGTCAAGTGGAGAAATTGCAAGCCCTGTCCTAGGATAGAAGTCTGGGATAGCACATCTGTAGAGAAAGAAACTAATTTTTATGCTCAGAATGGAAAGTGTGCTTCATGATAAGAGAATACTCAGAGGCAGAAGCAAATCCTACTAGAATATAGTTGGAAGGAAATAATGCCATCCATTTCTGGTCCCTTTGTTTTTGAGTAATGGTTATTATTTGTATAGCAAGAAACTAGATGCAGGTGACAGTGGTTGTGAGTTGAGGGGCTTCCTTTAGCAATGTAAGAGTTCTCATTGGAATTCTGAATAGAAACAAGGGGATTACACATTTCAAAAACGCTGATGCAGACACTTTCTCACCCTCTGTAGCCAAAGCACACAGGAGGCTAATTTGGTTCATTTTTACTGACCGGCAGAGAGCCTGGAATTGTCCCATATAATGCATTTCCATGCTTAAAGGAGAGTTCTGCCACCTTCGTCAGTGGATTATGCTGGCTGCAGCATATTTCTCTTAAGGAATATACCTTATTCAGCCTCTACTCTAATGCTCAAGGTAACTTTTAAAAGTCACTTGGGAGGTTATCAGCTAATAAAATGCCAAAGCGGCCTTACCTTAATTCTTACTGATGTGATAATCAACTTTCCTCTTAGGGTTTTCCAGCCATATATTCACCTTCTCCTGTATTTTTTGCCTGCTGGATATAATCAAGGCATTTTAGATTATTAGACAAAATCTGACAGAGGAAATGCTCAGTGTTCTAGATTGGCGGGCTTCTTCTCAAATCTAGCCAGCCCTCCTTGAAGCTCTGAGTGGTGTATTTAGATGCTGTCCTTTTAAAAGTAACTTTATCAGAGAAAATAATACATAAAATTGTACATTACCCATACTTTCATATTTGTATTATGTGAATAATATCCAGTTCTTCATAAATCTGTTGGTTAGATTGCTCTTCCCTTTCCTCTTATAATAGACTAACCATTTTAATAATGCTACATTCCAGATTTGTCTGCACCATCCCATCAAACATGATGAGGTTGTAAACTTCAATTTTGTAGTAATGTATGCTCTTGCAGCTGCTGTTGGAACTGCAATTAGTTCTATATTGCCTTGTCCCACACATTAAAAAAAGCAGGTGGTACTATCCCCTTTTTATCCTCACAATAACCCTTTGAAGTAGGTTAGGTTGAGTGTGATGCCCAAGAAAAAAGCAAGAGTCCAGTAGCACCTTAAAGACTAACAAAATATGTGGGAGGGGATGAACTTTCGTGAGTCACTGTTCACTTCTTCAGCAGTGACTCACAAAAGTTCATACCTTGCCACATATTTTGTTAGTCTTACAGGGCTTTTTTTGTAGAAAAAGCCCAGCAGGAACTCATTAGCATAATAGGCCACACCCAACAGCAGAAACTCATTAGCATATTAAGCCACACCCCCATGTTGCCAGAAGTGTGGTCATCCAGCCACACCCACCTTTTGCTTCTTATTTTGTTTACTTTGTTGTCAAAACCCAGGGCTTTTTTTTGTAGCAGGAACTTATTTGCATGTTAGGCCACACACCCCTAATGTAGCCAATCCTAATGAGTTTCTGCTGTTGGGTGTGGCCCATTATGCTAATGAGTTCCTGCTGGGCGTGGTCAACTCAGGAGCCAGCCGGTACTCCGTTCCTGCCCAAAAATAGCCCTGGTCTTTAAGATGCTACTGGACTCTTGCTTTTTTCTACTGGTACAGGCAGACTAACACAGCTACCCATCATGATCTATCTCAACGATTGGCTCAAAATTACCCATTTTGAGAATTTCTGATCTGGGGTCCAAGTCTGACACTTGAAGCACCACTTGACAAGGTCTTCTACCTGTTTCTCCAGGACAATTAATTTGGTTGAACAAAATAGTTTTTGCCAAGCCCACTGAATAAATGCTTGCACTTAGTATGAAAGTGATACCTTCTGCGTAAAACCTGTGTATGAATCACTAAAAGCACTTTTAATCTTAAAACAATACTCACATTTTACTTCACTTTTCTGTACTTGGATTTCCTACTTTGCTGGGGTTAGAATGGAACTGTGAAATTGGTTTTACTTTCACATTCTTTTTTTAAGTAACATTAGCACAGAGGCATATTTGAACACATGTTTAAATATGTGATATACAGGAAATAATTTTTGCATAAGGAAATAAAAAGCAGTCCTTGGCTTGTAGCTCTGCCCTTCACTTTAGGGTTTCAAAAGGGAAGTAGGGTTCACAATATTTTGTAAAATGGCAGCTGATTACTTAATCACACTTCAGGACTGCATTTGGTGGAGGTCTCTTC